TTTGCCTGAAGTGTCTTGCTGATCAAGTAAAGCCAAATCATGTCATTATGTGCAAATTTCTTCAAAGATACTTGAAATGTTCATCTACTCAGTTTCATATCTTAATATAACAAAGCAATTTCTAAAAAAGTTATGGATATTTTATTTATTAATCCAACAGATTTTATCACTCAAACGTTATTTTTAGTAGATACCCATATTTTAAGAGATGCTTCATTTATTTATTAAACAGTATATTTATTTAATAAGGTTTCTCTAATATTCAGGTCAGTAGACAAAAATAAATATACTGTTTAATAAACAAACGGAGCATCTACTCAAATACAGGTATCCACTAAAAATAGTGTTTAAATGATAAAATCTGTCAGATTAATGAAAAAAGATCCATTACTTCTTTATAAATTGCTTTGTTTGACATGTATAAAAATAAATTGTAAATCTACTAATCTAAGAAAGATTTTTTTTTTTTTTGTTTTTAGAAGCTAAAAAGGAGATTTATTATTATGAGTGACAAGGTGAAGACAATCTAGTAAAGATTTCTGGTTATGAAAATTAAAAATTATATAAAAGTTTCAGTAGAAAAAGAATGTAAAAATTTATAATGAATGTTCAGATTCAGCAGTTAAAGTCCTGGCAGGATTAAGATCAGATGTTCTTCACATTTCATTCCAAATTATGTTTTTAGAGAAACCCTCCCCTCCCCATATCATGTCAGCTTTGTTAAAGATTAAAGAAAATATTTGATTATTTTGTTTAAAAATAAATTTACAAGAATGTTTCCATCTTAAAATCACACACAATACAGTAATCTTGATAAAAAACAAAAAACCCAGCGATATCAACAAAAGAATATGCAGAATTGCTGACAGACTGAACGGTCATCATCTAAGAAATATTTAGCAAAATACTTTGCATTAAATATAAGCTAAAATGCTAAGTTAAGCTGCAGGCACTTTTGCAGACAGATGCATAGAAATGGGAACATTATTTACCAGATCAATCGCCTTAGTTTTGTGCATCACAAATACAGTTAGTTTTGAGGTAAGCAAAAATAAACCATTTAAAAAACCAGCCTTAATAGATTTAGACAGAGATACATTTATCAGATACAGAAGGGATCCTAAAAAAAACTAAGCTTTTTTTATTCTTTACTAATAGACAAGTTCAGGAAATGTATTATAGAAATAGTAAATGTTTATGCTTTATTTTGAAGTAAAACTAATTTAAATGAAAATAAACTTGTATTTAACAACTAAATTCTATAGAATATTTATATAAAAATATTACCATGGACCATCAATTTGCTTCTTTTTTTATTTTTTAATATAAACCCCAGTAATGTTACATGGAATCCCAGGCTCTATATAGACCCCAGCTGAGAACCACTGAGATACCAGATATTCTCAAGTCACATAAACTAATAACTTAAACTGCCAGAGGTTGAGAATGGCTTTCGGAACTAATTTTAGAGAATGACCATAAATGGAACAAGAGGAAAGGCAGAAGAAAGTACTGTCAACTAGCACACTAGTGTCTTACCTTAAGATGATAAAAAAAAACAAGACACAAGAGGTTTAGACAAAGGTTTTGATGACAAGCAAAATTACCAAGATTGAGAGGACCTGATATATAGTCACAAAATTGTCACAAAAGAATGACATTTACTTGCTCTTTTTTTCTTTTTACTCAAAATTGTGGATGTTATTATTGTTATTATTATAATATTTTCAAAAAAGGTTGACATGAATAAAAGAGCAGATCAACACTGAGCAAGAACCTGACAATGAAAAGCAACAGAAAGATTCCTCAAAGAACTGCCAGAAATGGAACATGACAAATTTTATATACAGAATAAATGCAAAGCAAAAGCAACTTATATCAATGGTATGAACACACACACACATATATATATATATATATATATATATATATGAAAAAATATAAAATATTGCACAATGAGTGCTGGTGGTAATAAAAAGTGTTCAATGTAAAATAACAGAGCTAAAATTTATACTATTAATAATAAATATACATTTTGGGGATTACTAAGGATATTACAAATGTAGCAAAAGTAATGAAATTAGACAAGAAATAATTTGAATATTTGGTGTGAGGGTGCTAAATGGAAAAACTGACACAGAGATACTGAAAAGAAGAAAAATATCAAAATATGTTGATCATCTGGCCAAATATTAGCTTCATTCCCAATTCTTATTTGCACATGCAGATCAGGTGCTGCAGTCTTTTTTTTTTTTTTTTAAATCACATTCACCCCCAAGCAAGGCAGTAAAGCCACTGAGATATAAGGGGGTTACTGGGATTGGAAGTATTAGAAATCAGAAACATTACTAAGGAGCGAGAAGAAAAGAAGATTATTCAGGAGGACAGTGGGTAGCTATTGGTGCAGATGTGGATCAGAAACAGAAGTTTACCGTTAAGGGTTTTTTTTTTTTCAGTAGAACAAATCACATGTTGACTTATCAATTGATGAAAATTCCTAAGAAATAATACACAACATTAATATATATGTTATATTTAGCAGATACATATGTTTGAGTAGATAACTTTTTTTTCTTTTTTTTTTTAGACAGCAGAATTTTCATCTGTACTTTTCAAGAAAATGTGGCCTTCAGCAGGTTTCAAACCTACACCCCTCTTTATGTATGGGAAACCACTGTATAGCCTTGCATGGTTTTATTTTTTTCCAGATACAAAGACTTAATGGCAAAGCAAAGCTCAATTAACCTTATACAGGAAAGCACAGCTCACATTTAAGATCTTTTAAAGCCTATATCTACTAAATTTATTTTTGTATCCAAAGCATAAAGTAATTTCTAAAGAATGGATTTTTCTTATTCATAATTCCACACTATTTCTCATTACTATACATGTTATATCTAGTGATTACATGAATAGACATTTCTGCTTATATATATATATATATATATATATATATATATATATATATATATGTATGTATGTATACTTATAATTTGTATAGATCCATTTTAATCATGATTTTTCCATGAGAAATTATAATACTAACTTACAATGGAAGCTTACATGGGTGTTTAGTAAAAAAGATATCAAGGTGATAAAGTTTTTTTTTTTTTTATACAAACAATTTCCTAGCTGATGACTTATGAAACTAGAAAAGATGCACCTTCAGAAAAAATGTATTTGAGAATTAACAGAGCTTTAAAATCAAATTGAGGATAAAATTTCTTCTGAGAAGAGTTTACAGGCCAAAAGTAATATGAATCTTAATATGCGTTTGACTTATGCAAAAAAATTATATATTTGGAGGCATGAAACCACAAAAACACCAAACAGAGAATGCAAATAAAACTATAGATTAGACTGGATCACTGAATACAAAAGTTATAAAAAATTGTGAAGCATATTAAAATTTCAAAAATAGATTTTTTTTTTTTTTTTCACTAAAAAATTTAGGCCAGGAAGAGTACAAATTAGATTTATACAATTATGTAATTATAAAAAAGAAAGCTTTTTTTCATTAAAAAGTATAATTTATGATGCTTTGAACCATTTTTTTAAAAATTATCTCTCCATTGCATAGCTTCCTAGTTAGGCATAATGAAACTCACACACACACTAATACAGAAACATTATATATATCCACAAAGTTACTAAATATTAGCAGACATACACTGAGAAATGAATACAATTTTATGCATGCACACTACATGATACACAGATTTAGATAGAAAATATATATATATATATATAAGCCGGTAAGTATTTATGTATGGGCACCAGTAAACAATCACACATGGATTTAATAGATTTTTTCAGGTAAAAACTGTGCCAACAAATACAAAAATTAACCCAGGAAACAATACAATGAGAAAACAAATTAGTATTTAGTTTTGATTTTGAATAACTGCTGCCAAATACTAAAAGGAAATGTTTATGAAAAAAAAAAAAAAAAGATTGGTATATGTTCATTGTAAATTTTCTTGTGCATTTTCTGACATAAGTTGGTGCCAGATGCTGACAAGAGCCGCCAGGAAAATTTCCGAAGATAGCATGGTCCAGGATTTTTATTTTCTGGATGAGTAAGTAGGCAGTTGATGACCCTGGCAGAGACATTTAATTCTACTTAGATAAACAATGTGATTTGTCAAATACACACTTAGCCTGATAATGGCTCGGGTCAATATGCAAAAAAAAAAAAAAAAAAAAGGTCACACACAAAAATCACAAACAGTGTTCTTTTCTGTCAATACATTTGCAGAGAAAGTGGTGAGGGGGATGGGGGGGAAGGAGGGGGGAAGAAAAAGGAGAAATAAGGAAGAAAAAAGTCCATAAGCATAAAAACAATTGCACTAATGATGAAGAATTTAATATTGAGAGTAGTGTGGCATTACTTAAATTGCTCGTAAAAAACTGGCACAAATTTTGAGGAAAAACATTTTTGCAGATTAGCATTCATTAGATCTTTCTCTACTCATGACATTTGCTGGAAACGAAAAATATTTTTTTTATCATTTTACGGAGGTGGGGGGTAGGGCTGTTCATAATATAAATACAATGTCAAATCAATTCCTGACTTCTTAAAGAGTTATCTGTCCTTTGCTTTTATTTATAAATGTCAAGTTTTAAAGAGTATTTATGAAACTGCATACTGATGATATATTGCCTTTTTTCCAAAATTCATAATTAGACAGTTATCAAAGATGTAAGCATAAATACAAACTTAAATAATTACAAACTGTAAATAAAATTTTGACAAATGTCATGACTTTTGGAAGGTTTAACGAACACTAATCTACAAAAAAAAAAAAAAAAAAAATTATTTTTTTATGAGCAGACCAGTTTAAGCAGTGCCAACAGAAAGATTAGCTTTTTTTTTTTTAAATGAAGTCAAACCATTAATTCAAGCAAAATAGAAGCAGGAAGAAATAGATGCTGAAATAAAAACATTTTCTAAAATTTTTAAAGAGAAAACAAAAGGATGTAGAAGTACAAAATGCCATTCAGTCATCTTTTTTGGGGTCTCGTGGTCGCCGTGTCCATTTGATAAGAGTCTCTGATGAGCGGTAGAGGAAGACAAGTTGGGCATAAAGGTCCTCCTCAAGGCGAAACTCATGCATCTCACGCACAAGGTAAATATTGAGACAAAGTTTGAGAATGCGGTCAACAAAGGGTAGCTCTCGGAACTGGATGCTGGGGTGCATGTTGATAGTGCCCATTCGCAGAAATCGACCAATCAACAGGATAAAGGACACATATAGACCGACGATGCTGTTTGCAGAGAGGAAGAGAATCAGAAGAGAGAACAAAGAATTAGGCATTTATTATGGAAGAATAAGAACAGAGAAGCCAAAGAGTCTGCAGCTATATAAAATTAAAAAAAAAAATGTAATTTACAATGCAAAGTTTATCCATAATTCTGTAACAACTCCCTACTATCAAGATATAATCAAATAAATTTATTAAAATTATTTCAAATTTTTTAAAAATCAAATTTAAAAAAAATAAATAAATTATACCAAAGACTGCAACATTCAAGTAATTTTTCTTTTACATTATGATGCTAAATTTACCATAATTGTAGGTTTACATTATTGGAATAATTAAGTTGTTTGCACAACTGGATTAAAATGAAAAAAATAAAACTCTTAATGAACACACACTTAGCATCTAACATAAGATACTAGCCTAGCTGGGCTAGAGCTTTGAGAAAGTTCAAAAAGTATCTATGTGACCAAGTGAGTGATGAAACATTTTCCACCTTACAACCACTTTCCCCACAGATAAAATACTGCAAACCTCTCACTTCTCTATCACAATTTCTATGGAAAAATGTTCTGCTGAGCTATATACTTATATTACTTATATATTCTTTTATGTTATTTTTTCCCCTCAGATAGAAGTGGTTTTATGGCTATTCCATTCACGACTATACAGGCATTCCATCTTCAGTGATTTTAGTTGGTGAGTACATGCAATCACCAGCTACTGACATTATAAGACCTTGGGCTAATCGAGGGAGGTATCAATGCCAATATCATTGAAAGGATCAATACCAACCACCTGAAGAATATATGTACAGCACACTGGAAACAGAGCTGTGATGGGTCAGATTTACACTGGCTGATTATGATAAATATTTGGGTTAACAAAAACTATGGCATCTTCCGTGATGAATTTCATCTTAACATCAAAAACTGATAGACAACTGGAAAGGATCAGTATAAAAATAAATAGACACAATATGTCTATATTATTCAATGAAACACATTTGAATGAATATATGGTCTGAGCGTGTGTGCGTGCATATATATATATATATATATATATATATATATATATATATATATATATATATAGAGAGAGAGAGAGAGAGAGAGAGACATGTGGCTGAGTGGTTAGATAAGTTGGTTGTTTTGTTTTATGGCATATCAACCTCAGTGGGTCATTTAATGCCAACAAAATTTTGAAATAGATTCATAGTGATAGTTTGGTAAAAAAAAAAAAATGGTGTGTATGTATACATATATATATTTGAACCATTTTTCAATTACTCATATTTTTTAGTTTTTTTTTTTTTTTTTTTTCAAAAAAAATGTATTATTGGTAATTTTTTTTTTTACAAACTATTTCTGGTATTAAAACCTATTTTTACATTTTCATATTTGGGGGGGGGTAACTATTTACCCATAGCTGGGGCCCTAACAGGTGCTACCACCCTGGGTCAGGGTGGACCTGGGAATATCAGCAATTAAGAGGTGGTTCCACACTCCTCAAAACCTCCTGATCAGAGGCCTTGCTGTTGGACGTAGTTTATCATCTTACCCAGGACACCTGAGTGGTTAGAATGTTCATATTTTCTTACCATGAAACCTGCAGTTGATTTGCCAGGAATGTTATCAGCCTGGGAAGGTGGTATCAGTGTGTAGCACCTTTGAAAAGTGCCTGAAAACTATACCATAGGTTGACCCAAGCCTTGTGAGTGAATTTGGGTAGATAAAACTATTTGGGAGCCATCGATGGTTGTGCTAGCACAAAGTCACAAGTCATCATGACTTAGAGTTTGAGCATACTGGCCTTTTCAGACTTTAACAGATAATGCACTCTCTGCCAGAAATTGTAACTAAGATATGAACAGTATAGTTGCAGTATAAACCAGATGGGCTCGGTGAATGTTGAACAAACACAAATGATCCTGAGCAGGCGTCTGCAACAGGGATTGGCAAGCTGCTCTAGTAGATTGGCATACTCAGATACAAGCAGCCAGCCCTTAGCTTTTATTCATGTGGATTATGCAAATGACATCTACAATTGATTTCCTCAATCTACAAGAATCTCCTTTTATAAAACTTTTGCTCTTTATCAAATTTTACTTAAGATTTTGTTTTTAAAGTGGACATTCAAAGCCTTTAAAATTATACTGACTTCATTAAACATCAAGTTATTTTACACTTGGGTTTTATGCAAACACGTACAAACATTTTATTACGCTCTGCTAAAATGGTACTTGTCAGCAAATGTGGAGAAGTTATTTTCTAATAGAGTTGATCATTAAATTTTATTTGTACTAAGATAAATAGCAATCAACTTTTACTTCTATCATCTATTAAATAAAGATGAGATCTATTTTATTTACATTATCAATCATTTTGGAAGGAAAGTGTGAGTGAGCATCAGTTGAGACACTGAACACAGTTTCTCAATGTCTTGTGGATCTGACAAAATGTGATTTGTCAATGAAGTTTCAAAAAGTCACTGAATCAGTCAAATGTAGACAGAATTCCAAAGATAAATCATAACATATGCACAAGCAGATTTATCAGATTAAAACAATCTGAAATTTTGAAGGAACCAAATTTGTGTCTGCGTGTGCATACAGAAGTATATGACAAACTATATTAATATTTATATACAAATATGCATATTAAAAATTAAAACTAAATACATCAGAAGACCTACAATAACTATATATATATATATATATATATATATATATATATGTGTGTGTGTGTATGTGTTTAGGAAGGAATCCTTCTTTCATGCACATTTCATTGAATACTGCAGACAAGGTGTTTAGATTTAGTTTTTTTATACAATTTTTCATGTGATCTAATAATTTTTTTCTTTTCAGATGATAAATTATATAAAAACTGTTCGAATGTTCATTTTTTTCCAAGCATTTTCAGCTATATATTTAGCCATTTTCAAGGATGAAATATTTTAACTGTTAAATAAGAAATAGTTTGTTGCATGTATGTATTTATATAATGTTTTCATTTTTCAAAACGCAGTCAAGATATTGTGTTGGTTTTTATTAAAAAGGCTTCCATTATTTTTAGCCTTTTTTTGCATGTAGATGATGCTATTATATTTGTGTTGTTGTTAATATGCTATGATGAACTAACAAAATCCATTTTGTCTGTAGGTCTTGAAGATTGAGAGCTGCATTTTTAGAGCTCTCATGAAATAAAAATTATTAACTATAGGTTTTTAAGTGATTGATATTCTTTAATTAATAATAATTTTGCTCTGGATCTATATCCCCCTGGAAATTCCCTAGAGATTACTATATTGTATCATTACATATATATATATATATATATATATATATATATATATATATATATATAGAGAGAGAGAGAGAGGTAGATAATAAATGGGAGAAGATTTTATAGTTTAAAATTTCAGTATCCCCTCTCCTTAGTGCACATGTGTGCAGTTGCATCAAGATCACTTTAGTCTAAGGAAGTCCTAAAAGATTTTTCCTCTACTTTCTCATCAACAATATTTGATAAGCATTTATAAATATATATTCTGTCAATAACACAATCTTGTCACATCCTAAGGAGCGATAACAGTGTGAAACATTTAGTTGGTGATAGATAAGTCTTGAACTTATATATTTGTAATAATAATTAATGCTATAATTGCATATTGAGCACTCGTATGGATAAAATTCAGCTCATCTTGACATATGTTAAATTACATAATTTGGCACATATATATATATATATATATATATATATATGCGTGTGCAGACACACACAGTTTTATCATAATTCTAAAAACTATATTAGGTGTTAATAACCTATCTTTATTTTCATTCAAGTCCATAACCAATGCTTTTTCTATGCCCAAGGCCCAAGTGGAAGAAAAGGGTGTGTATCTGCCTAAAACAAAATGAAAGTTTACATAAAATAATAATGTATTGCATAATATGTGTCTGACTTATTAACATGTGGCAGTAAACATATTCTTACCTTTATTAACCCACATCCACACTAGATTTATTTATTTATATATATATATATATATATATATATATATATATATGTGTGTGTGTGTGTATACACACACACACACACACACAAAAGCACTAAGTGTGCACCAAATCACACACCTGTTAAGTGACATTAACGAGCAGGATAACCTTAACAACACATCAATAGCTCCACTGCTAACACACTGCTTCATCACCTCCCCCTCCTGTCCACTACCCTCAGCTACTCAACAGGCTTTCACTGGAAATCAATTTTCTAAAGAAACAACTAACCAACAATCAGGATTATGCAGTATTCTATAAATAGAATTCTTCGCAGTTGGAAAAAAACGAAAAGCAAAAAGAACACCAGAAAATGGTAATTGGAACTGGAGACTTTTGTGAATGTTCAAGATTATTGATGAGTGTTAATGTCAATACAACTATTAAATGTACTGTTACTGCACCTGATGTTAAAATGAGGGCGAGAGGTGTTCAAGGCTACTAATTTTAAATACTATTACTACCAACAATGCTACTGATAGAAAACACTATACATTCTGTCTGCTATTATATTTGTGCTGCTAATACTTAGTGCAAAATAGTGCTGATATTGTCATAATATTACTGATATCTTTATAATATTTCTTTTTAATCAATTCAACCCAAGCATGGTGATAATGCCACTAAGACACAAGAGGCTACCAGGAGTAAAAGAGAATGAGAAGACATTAGAAATAACTAGAAAACCATTCCTAAACAAGAAACAAGGGATAAACCACTACTCTTGTTCAAAAAGCCGAGAAGTATGAACCGGATGATAGGTGAATCTATCTACTTCTTAACTGATATCTTGATAACATTAACTGTTTAATGATTAAAATAATAAAAAGTTGACTAGAATAGCCAGTAAAAAAACATTCAAAATAGCTTTCTTTGCTTATAGCTTAAACTATGCTAAAAAGTAAATTTAATTATATATATATATATATATATATATATATATTTTTGG